GGAACTAAAACCATGCCAATAATTTCAGTGAGTAGTATGAGAGAGTATGTATGTGTATAGTTGAATGAGGTAAAAACAACACTCTTTACATTGTTCAGGCTATCATCCTCATCTTTGTTGCCATATTTATCACAACGTTTCGGCCATTGTACGACTTGGCCTTCTTCAGGTAGTTGGAATCTTTATTACACTCACTGGGGTAGACTGTTCTAGTTCCACATGCCATGGATGTTAGTTATCAATTATCTCCTGTTAATTTCCCTCTATAAGTTCTCCACTGCCTTAACCAGGTATTGAACTCACACACTTTGGGTATTGTCACTGGATCTAACTAATGCCTTTATCCACTGTGCCATGTGTCCTTGTCTGTATGGGAATTTTTGAGTATTATAAACCTAATGTTTCACAAGCATTTTTTACCAGTGCTCATATTGCAATTTTTGCTGTTATCATTGCATTTTTTTTTTTTTACCAGAGCTCATATAGCAATTTTTTGTTGTTATTATTGCTTTTCTCTGGCACTCCTTATTACTGGTTCCCATATTGTATTTATTTCTATGCTTGGTCAGCTCAGGAGATTTTTGTGGCCTAGCATATGTGCTGATTCCTTAAGTTTATGAATTTTCTAATGATGTTCTTTGTCTATGATTTCAACCTGATCCCACAGAAGGTGGTGACCTTCCTTTTCTCTCCATATGTGGTCAGCAATGCCTGATTTTTCCACTTCTCCTCATGTTACAGCTTTCTGGTGCTCTTGAAGCCTTACCTTAAGGGGGCAGCCTGTCTCCCCTTTATATTTCTTTCCGCAGCTACACAGGATTGCGTACACACAGTCTTTAGTCATATTCTCCTCTATGGGGGGGGGGTCTTACTAGTGACAGGTATCTGCAAAGTGTTGTCCCACTTTTGAAGGTAGTCCTGATGTTATATGGACCGCAGATCCTTTGTATTTTCTCCAATAACCCCTTCACATAAGGCAGGCAGATTGTTTTCTGAGTGTTGTTGTAAGACCCACCATAGAGGAGAATATGAATATAGGGGATAAAGGCGTTAGTTAGATCCATTGACAGTACCCAAAGAGTATGAGTTCAATACCTGGTTAAGGCATTGGAGAACTTGTAGAGGGGAAATAACAGGAGATAATTGATAACTGACATCCATGGCATGTGGAACTAGAACAGTCTCCCTCAGAGAGCATAATAAAGGGTTTAGTTCAACATTCCAACCACCTGAAGAAGCTTGGAGCGTACAACGGCCAAAATATTGTGATAAATATGGCAACAAAGATGAGGATGATAGTCCGAACAATGTAAATAGTGTACATAATAGCTCATCTCAGAAATATAGACAGAGGAAAAAACAAATAATCTAGTCACATGACTTAGGTACAATTAAGAATAACATGGTTTTGATGATGGAAACATATAAAAAGTGTTAAACTATTCAGAGAGAAATAAAGGCAGTCAGAGTAATAGCACATTTTCATATCTCTGAAATAATGTAGAACCATCCAGAGAATAGAGAAGATTTGTATATTTTTAAATGAAAAAAGCTATAATGAGAAAATATAGTTCATTTTTGTATTTCTGAAAAAAAGTAGAATAGAGAAAATTTGTATGTCTCAAATGACAAATAATGAGAAAATATAGCACATTATCATATTTCTGAATAAAAAATTTTTTCTGTTTTATTATTTCCCACTAAAAATATAGAAATCTACAGCAAAATAGTGAAGATTTCTATACTTTTAAATGAAAATGGAAAAAAATAAGCCACATTTTCTTTTTCCTCACTAAAGTATAGAAATATAATTAGAGTAGAGAAGATTTGTATATTTTTAAATGAAAAAAGCTAAACGAGAAAATATAGCACATTTTCCTATTTCTGGATAAAAATGTGAAATTAGACTGAGAAAAGAGAAGGGTTATATAATTTTAAACGAAAAAGCTAAATAATAAAAAATACAGCATGTTTTCTTATTTCTCACTAAAAATATAGAAATGTACTGTAGAAGATTTTGTTATTTGTAAATGAAAAAATCCAAATAATGAGAAAATATAACACATTTTTTTTCACTGAAAGAAAATGTGGAAATCTCCAGAAAATAGAGAACATTTGTTTATTTTTAGATTAAAAAAGCTAAATGATGAGAAAATACAACACATTTTATTTTTTCTCACAAAAATATAGAAATATACTGAGAATAAGAAGATTTGTATATTTTTCAATCAAAAAAGCTAAATAATGAAAACAGCTAGCACATTTTCATATTTCTGAATAAAAATGTAGAATTAGACTGAGTAAATGGAATTTTTTTTTTCTGAATAAAAATGTAAAATTAGAATGAGAAAGGCACAGATTTATATATTTTTCAATGAAAAAAGCTAGATAATGAAAAAGTTTTCTTAATTCTCACTCAAAATATAGTAATATACTGCAGAAATTTCTATACTTTTAAATAAAAATGCAAGAAAAGGAGGAAATATACACCATAGTCTTTTTTTTTCACTAAAATAGGCCCCTTTTTGCTGAGGGTAGTTTTGAGGTGATGGTCCTGATATGTTCCTTTCTTTTTTCTGCCATGGGTGATTGCTAATTGTTTTTCTAAGTTTGGCAATAAATGAGAACTTCAACAAAAGGGAATTTGAAACTTATCTATTTTATTAACATGTCAAGATGTACATTTTTATATATCACCCCCACTAGGGAGCAAGTACCCTGAGATGCAAAATAACCACTTCTGATCTCTTCAACATGTAAAACCTAACTCCCTGAATACACTTTCCAGCTCTAACACTCCCACATTTGGCTCAGCCAATCAAAATCGACATCCCTATTCTGTCTACCAGTTAAGGTCTGAGCCAAATGCACTACCACCAAAAAACAATTGTCCAAAACTTTTATTTAACATTCCTTACCTAACCATCATCCTTACCCAAACATCAAAAAAAGATTAATTTATGAATTTTATTTCATCTATTTACTCTAAAATACCCTCTATAATTTTGTGTATGCAGGGCATGCTCCTTACAATTTTTTTTCATTGAGTCTCGGTCACATGACACTCCAGCATACACGTATATAATTCCTAAAAAAGAATTAACATCAACAACAAAATTTTGACCAGTTTTTCATGCTTCACAAACATTTTTTTAAACAAAAACAGAATACCAGACAATCCTTTGCCCATTCTTGGTCACTAGCTTCTGTGACCCACGTCCTTGCTACCTAATTTTTATACATTAAATATGCTATGATCTACATTCCTTTCCCACTCACAGTGACACAGCACACTTGATGTATTATCACCCTATTTATTGAAACAACCAATTAATTGCTTTTTTACTTGCGTTTTACCAGATTCACTTGAACAGATCTTCACAATTTTTTTGTCACCATTAATTTCTTATAGTTACCGTTATTGCTCATCTGCCTCTGTGTGTCAAACCTTAGCTTACATCATCTCCAATTCTTCTGCCCCTGGCTGCCCCAATGGTGAAAACAACCACACCTGCTCAGTATTTACTAACTAATCTATTACTGGCTCTACTGTGGTTACAAGGATTTCTTCCTTAGGCACTACCGCAGTTTGGTATACCACAATTCTACCAAATCATTGGGAGCCCCAAAACTTGGCCCTGGGGGTATCATAGGGTATATTTATTTGATATAAATATTTCATGATACACAGGTCCCCATTCTACTCCCCATAAATCATCAGGTCCCTAATTATATAGCTAGTTGTGACCATTTCCACCATCGGACACAGACCCAAACACATTCAGAAATAAGAAACTATGCAAGCTGAATCTACTTATTCCTACAACAATTAACTCATTTTTTCCACAAAAAAATTAACTCATAAAATTCACCAATTAACAACTTAATTCTTCAATCATTGAAGGCAAAAGGACATGCACATGGCTCTTAAAATAAAAAAAAGAATTCCACTCTCTGTTACAAAAATGAAAAAAGCAATCATTTGTCAGTTAATTACAATTAACAAAATAATTTTAAACTTAAAACATTTGAATGCACACAAAACCATAGTCTATGTGACTATGGTTTTGTGTCAACTTTCAACTCATTAACAGTCCACAGAAATCACAGTGGGAATGCCCCATCACAAAATTACCAAAACAAATTTTCCATTGTGTTAGGTATACAAATTCAGGCCTTCACTTGGCAAGTCATCAAACTGGTCAATTTTACTTCTTCAAGGGAAAAAAAAAATTTCTTAACAGTGAAACTTTCAGAGCCAGATTTTTTTCACAACAAAATAAAAATGACAACTGCAGCATATACAACTTGAAATCATGCCAAACATGACCTTAGAAAGTGTACCAATAGAAAAAAATCAACAATAAATTTCTACACATGGTCTAAACTTTTGTAAAATGACAAAACAAACAAACAAAATCAGTCTCTTACTAAAATATTTCATGAAAACTGCTATTGTCACATCAGTGTATATATGTGAGTGTTGGTGCCCATTGTCCTTTCATTCTTTCTTTTCCCTACTTGTCCTTTTTTCTATTGTCTGTCCATCTAAAAAATTATTTTGCCTCATTTTTTTCATCATTGCTTCCTATTTTGGTTTGTTATTGTTATTTAGAACTGTATGTGTGTGTGGCAGTACTTACAGACATATGCCTACACTACACTTTTTTCATATTCCCTTCTCTTTTTTTTTTTTTTTTTTTGAGTCCTCCATCAAAAATCTCCAAAATTTTTCCATGTGTTTCAAACCTGGTTCCATTCCAGCCTTCCTTGCTGGAAGGAGCTGGTCACTGCATACCAAACTGAGAGAAGTTGCATAGCCCATTCAATCTAAGGGTAGTCTTGGGGTGATGGTCTCAATTCATTTATATGTTGCTTTCTTATTTCTGTCATATTCCAGCCGGATGATCGCTAGTTGTTTTTCTTCGTTTGGCAATAAATGAGAAGATAAATAAAAGGAATTTGAAACTTAACTATTTTATTAACATTAATTATTATTAATGCCTACCTGCATTTATTCTGTTTTTCTTTCCATTTCTCCTCCAATCTGCATTAATTGCCTTTTTCATTCCATCTCTCCTTCTATCTGCATTCATTGCATTTTTCTTTCTATCTCTCTTCCTATCAGAATTCATTCTGTTTTTATTTGCCTCTCTCTTACTATGTACATTCATTTTGTTTTTCTTTCTATCTCTCCTATCTGCATTTCTTCTCTTTTTCTTTCCAACTTTCCTCCTATCTGCTTTCACTCTGTTTTCTTTCAATCTTTTGCCTTGTCTGCATTTAAATTTCCTTTAAACATATACATTCTGTTTTTCTTTCCCTCTCTCCTCATATGTACATGCATTCTGTTTTTCTTTCCATCTCTCCTCCGACCTACGTTCATTGTTTTTCTTTCCATCTCTCCTCCTATCAGCAGTCATTCTATTTTTCTTTCCCACTCTTCCTGTATCTGCATATATTCTGTTTTTCTTTCCATCTCTCTAGCTGCATTCATTCTGTTTTTCCTTCCAACTCTCTTCCTACATGCATTTATTATATTTTACTTTCCATCTCTCTTCCTACCTGCATTCATTCTGGTTTTCCATCTCTCTTCTATCTACATTAATTCTGTTTTTCGTTCCATCTCTCCTCCTATCTGCATTCATTCTGTTTTTCTTTCCATCTCTCTTTCTATCTGCTTTCATTCTGTTTTTCTTTCCATCTCTCTTTCTATCTGCTTTCATTCTGTTTTTCTTTCCATCTCTCTTTCTATCTGCTTTCATTCTGTTTTTTTTCCATCTCTCTTTCTATCTGCTTTCATTCTGTTTTTTTTCTTTCCATCTCTCTTTCTATCTGCTTTCATTCTGTTTTTCTTTCCATCTCTCTTTCTATCTGCTTTCATTCTGTTTTTCTTTCCATCTCTCTTTCTATCTGCTTTCATTCTGTTTTTCTTTCCATCTCTCTTTCTATCTGCTTTCATTCTGTTTTTCTTTCCATCTCTCTTTCTATCTGCATTCATTCAGTTTTTTTTCCTTCTCTCCTTCTATCTGCATTCATTCTTTTTTTCTTTCCATCTCTTCTATCTGCATTCATTGTTTTTCTTTCCATTTCCCCTCCTACCTGCATTCATTCTGTTTTTCTTTCCATTTCTCCTCCTCTCTGCATTCATTTTGTTTTTCTTTCCATCTCTCTGCTTATCTGAATTCATTTTGTTTTTCTTTCCCTCTCTTCTATCTGCATTCCTTCTTTTTTTCTTTCCTTCTCACATCCTGTGCGCCTTCACTCTTTTTTCTTTCTATCTTTTCTCCCTTCTGCATTTAAATTTCCTTTCAACTTATTCAATATCTTTTGACTTGCTTCTTTATTTCAAATTTCTTAAATTTTTGTTTAACATTTTTAAAACATTCTTTTTCTTTTTTGTCATTAGGGAGAACTAGTCTATGTCAACTATGGCACAATCAAAGACTTCCAGCATTTATATTACAACCATTCTGTGAATTTTACATCAAAGATAGTCATTGCCCGATATGGTAAAATTTTCAGGGGTGATAAGGTAAGATGATTTTTACATTTTTTGTGCAATCCCATTAATACCATTTTAATGCCGAATGGTATGTTGTTAGTCATCATTAATTTATCTTAATGAATTCTATACATGATTGCTTTAATTCACTTGCACTACTGTAGTACTGGGGTAGTGATTCTAAAGACCAATCCATTTGCTGGATTCTGATTTGAATCTGGCAACCTCCAGTTTTCCAGTTATGTACCCTATCAAACATGTTGGACTAATCTAAATTAATCAGTTTTACCTTCCAAATCCTCTGTGATTGTGTTTGTCAAATACAAAATGTCCTAGATTTTTCATTCATCATTTGTTTTAGTCAGAAGAATCTGACACCACCACCATTTTGAAGATGGTTTGTCAGAATCTTGGTCAAAAAAATTATGGGTCTGTAATTATATATCCAATCTACTGTATGGCTTTTCTTTAATAATGTGTTTATACTCTTGGTTATTTTGCCAGGAATTCTTCCTTAATCAAACCAATGGTTGAATATTGCTTGTAATTGAGGAACAAACATATGGAGCAACCTGAAGCTTAGTTCATAGGGCATATCATACCATAGCATAATATACTTCCACAACTTCCTCTTTTGCTGAAAGCCACATTGGCCAAAGTCAGAGAAAGTTAACCAAATAAATGTGGAATTACTGCTTGGACAAGCCAACCTCTTTAGTGAACCAATTCTAGAAATGCTGCTGAAATAACTTTCAAATGTCATATGTTGGCTTAAAGATGTATTCATCAGACATATGTTAATGAAATAAATGTTGGGATCAGGACAATTCTTTTTTATACAATTCTGCACCATACAGTTGGATAATTTCTTTATCTTAGATCTAACTAGCTAGCTTTGATAGTGCTTGTTAATCAAGTGCTGCAGGTCTTTCCTAGCTAAGTCTTTGGATAACATAATGCCTAGAAGAATTTATATTCTTATACTGCTGCTGCTTTTGCCTTCTTGAGAGTAAATCACTGGTGTCAAATAGTAAACTTCCAAACCAGTAAACTAATCAAAGTTTCTTTTTGTCAAAAAATAATGCAAGGGAGATAATAAGCATTATTAGTTAATGATAAACTGCATCAACATATTTACATTTGAAATAGACACAATTGTGGCACATTTTCACCAAGGAAACTTCTTATTTAACTTTTCATTGATTAATAACCAAAGCTTTTCTAAAATTACTGTAGCACTCTCTAATTGTTCATTTTCATTAGACACATTTGCTGCCCTCAGAAGTAAAAATCCTTGAAAATTTTAATTTTGTAATATTCATTCTTTACTAAGTTGCATGTAATATTTACACCAGAAAGCTGACAATAATCATAGAGGTTTTTTATTACTAGCTTTGAGTATTCGTGTTCTTTAAAAAGAGAAAATCCAATTTTTTTTAGTCTTTACTGCTAATTTCATTCAGATGCAAATCTCATGTGTGATCCAAGAGAGAAAATAAGCTGCATTTCCTTACTTTGACACATTGTAGTGAATTACCACAGAGGGTAAAGAGGCCCAGGGTTGCATGAATTTTTTTGCAATGCTAGAACAAAATCAATAATAAAATTATCTCCAGTGCAAGCAAAGATTCAAATGTGCCTTGTGGTATAAACTGTCCAATGGAGAAAGAAATGGTGGCTTCATTGGTCACATATTTAAAATATTTAGATCTCAGGGTAAGATCTTGTGAGATTATCTTTGTGCATATGCAAATTTTAGCTGTCAATGATACATTAAAACAGGAAGAATGAGGCGATAACGGAGTGTGGAAAAGAAGTCAGTTGACTGCTGTGTTGAACTGGTTATAAGTGTCACGGACAAGAAAGATGAAACTGATTGCTGGAATTGATTGCAACAATAAGTTTAAAGCTTTTTTTTAATACACACATCAAGATCAATAAAAAGCTCCCAATTTTGAGGATCAGGCTTCCAAGCTTCATAACTAACTTCATCCATGAGTATGGGTGGTGTTTTTAAAGCTTGCTGAGATATCAATATACACCATCAATATTTTACTCAGGTCAAAACATGGATTCCCAACTGGTGAACACCAATGCAAGAACAATAATTGGGTTTATAGGATGACAAAAGAGCTAAGAATTAACATCAACTTTTGTTGCTAGAAAACATGTTCATCAAATAAGGACAGATTGAACTTCCAGTAACTAGTCTGTCAATACCTATTTTTTATTGTATTTGCGGAAGAACTAACTTGTTATATATTGTGGCCAAAAATGACATTTCAATCATACAATGACATTTTCAATACATCAGAAGAGGTCACAAGTGCTGAAAAAATGGAATATTGCTCACTCTGATCATTGTACACAGAAACCTCAGTAACGCAGAATACACTGGTTTTCATGGTCGCATCGGTCACAATCCGCTTACTATTGTGAATATTTAACTATCAAAGAAACTCTACTAGTGTCCCATTTGTTGTATGTTGAATAAATTCACCTGCACTTGCCTGTCAGCCTCACAAATAAAACAAAACTCCTTGATAGTGGCAGTATCCCTATCATGGGACAAACAAATCACATTCACAACAGACCAAACACACCCAGTTATTATCATTATCATTATAAGCTGAATGTCACCTGATTTATTGCTCATATAAATGTAAACATATCTTGAATATTTTACAAGCATCATTTGATTAATATCATTTTTATTGTGAAAACATTGGTTTTCATAATAAAATCTAAAATAGTATAATAATCATATATCATTTAGGGTCATTCAGCCATTCCTTTTAAATTATTGTTACATTTTTGCTGCATACTTGGTATATCAAGTGTTCATATTCCTATTCTATATCTTAGATATAAAATATAGAATGGATAGATTTTATTTTGGATGATACTGCATATATACCTTCTGATACTCAGTTATTGATTCTTAAGGAAATCAGAGTGTGACTTTTTATCAGTGTTGAAAGCAAAAACATTCACATGAATGGAAAAAATTTTGCATACACAGACTTGAAAATGTCTTCATGCCTAATATAAGATCAGGATAAAATATTACTACATAATAACTTGACTACCTTTTTCTGCAGATATAATGATAAAATTTTTATTAGCTTCTTATAGAATATGTTTAGTTTTTGAAGTTAATGAGGATATATTTTAAAGATTGATTTCTTCTTTGTTACTGTTCTCAGTCATAAGGAAAGCCTTTTTCATGTGCACTTGTTAGGTATACATACAGATACTTACCTTTTTTCTCATTGTGTGTATGTGTGTGTGCATGTATGCATACATATCTTTTATATGTATAGTGTGTAGCCTAAAGATAAATCAGTCCTGCATATGAACTATGATTAAGCAATAAAAAGGAAGATTTACATAAGAAATAAATTAATGTTATTTTTTTACCTTTTGCTATATGCACTTTATGAAAGACAATTTCTTATTGCTCAATTAATTCTGATAAAAAATTATCTGAATTTAAACTGTATTATTGTTGTCAGTGCAACTGTGTCCCAGGCTCAGGAGGTTACATGGACTGATACTCTTCCTTAGTTGTGCAGCAATCTCATAATGTTCCTATGGCAGATTTGGGTAATCAGACTCACACTTTGATCTATTTGTTTATCTCTCCAATTCCTTTTTGGGATAAATGGTTAGGCATGAAAAAATGGAAACATCATCGATGGTGATACTTGGCATTTATTCTGTCTTTTACAAAAGTGATTTGCTTTTTCTTCCCATTGGTTTATCAGGCATGGATAAGGAAGTTACTAAAATTAATTAGGTCTTCCTTATGTCAATGCACAAGACAAAGTTGAAAACAACAAATCCAAACAACAAGGAACCTACATAACTACTTTTTGAAACCCTAAATGAAGTGCTTTATATTAGGTTTACAGATAGAGACATAACTACTATCATAAATCCTCCCAATTATATTTTTAAATCCAGAACATTATTATTAATTAGATAGTATCATTTGGTTTGTCTGAACCTCTTCTGGCTCAATTTCTATTTCTCAATCACATTGCCTCATTTACAGATGGCTCAAGCAATCTCACTTATTTCCAAATATAGTCACTTTTACAGTACCACACAAGTTGACTGCAAAATTCTAATAGAGGAATTTCATCTTGCTACACGATCATTCTATATTATGAATGCTATTATTTTAAAAGAAAATTTTAAAATAATTTTCAAATTGTATTTCATAAGTGTAGTATAGATGCTAATTTATCCTTTGCTAGTATTGACAGATGAAGTCTTTGTGTATTTTCCTTGTAAAAAAAAACTCTAAGAGAGTAAATTTCAGTAATTTCCTTTGATACCTATCTACATATACATAACTGTCTCATAGAAATAAAAGAAATAGCCTATGCTGGTCCTTTTATTTTTATGAAACATTTAAGAACACAATGCAGCCTATTTTACCAACAATTCCAAATATGTAAACGTGTGAAAATTCATTTCTAGATATCTCAGAAAAAATAAGGTGTCTTCACTTTTCATTCCAACTTGAATTCTACTTCTGACAATCAGTATTGTTGTGATAATTTGTACTGAAATGGTACACAGTGATGTTTTCATAAAGTCCCTTAAAGATCCAGGAAAGCAATTTTGAAATACACATTAAATCTTTTATTACATGATAATACTTTGTCTGTAATACATATTTTCTTCTGTAAGCAGCCTATATTTAAAATACCACATGAAACTTTTACTCTATTGACTTATCCTAGTACCTATGTCATAATCTTTTTCAGTTAAAAATTGCAGCCCAATTCAATGCAAGTGGACTTATTTTGTATACTGATCCAGCTGATTTTAATATTAATGGCTTTAATGATACATATCCTCACTCATGGTGGTTGCCACCTGAAGGAGTCCAGCGGGGCACAGTTGGTGCAGATGGTGATTACCTCACGCCACTCTATCCAGCCACAGGTGAGTGTCTTGTGTTTATTCTAAACACAGTTTACTACAATCAAAATAAGGATACTCTGTTTTAAGGTGTTTAAAATATCAAAATGACCTTGTAAAATGAATCCTTCCCAAAATCAAGCATTTCTCTATGGTGGATTGTTTTGTTAGAGGAGCAGCCATTGCATGATAGTTAACTGATGAATTTGACAAGTGTATTGGCATCATGGCATCATTCATATGAAGCAGAGGTTCTTGTACATTATAGAATTTACATCAAACCTTTGAAAGAAGAACCAAAAAATTAGGCTTTACAAATGAGCACACAAGACTTTCCATTGGGCAAAGTAAGAAAGTTCTATTTGGTTGCCTTTGATAGAAAGTAGCAAGTCAAACAACATAAAAATGAGAGATTGTTTTTTAAATGATTGAAAAAATTCATTTAAATTTGTAGTTGGTAACATACTGATAGGAGGGTGAATGACGTCTGATACTAGTTTTAGTAATATTTCCATGTGTGGTGTTTTATTATGACAGTTGTTTTTTTTTCCAATTCACATGTTCAAAATATATGTACAGTGTCTGTGTCTCCTTTTTCTTTATTTCACATCACATTAGAATCTTGTTCAGCAGTCTTTTATCAAGGGGCGTAACTTGTGGTTACATTTCCTGTGAACATGCTACAGCATTGACTCACTCATTCAGTTAAATGGCAAAGTATATGCTGCAGTTTATAGGAATATTACTGTTCTTACTCTGAAATAATCTCTTCTCTAGGCTCATCATTATGGAAAATAATTTTCCTTACAATGTAAAAATGGTAAAGCAATTCTTAGAAGCTAGAAATGTTGAGGTTATGGTATGGTCAAGCCAAAGTTAGATCCCAATCCAGTTGAGAATCTTTGGAAGATAATCAACAAAAATGTTAGTACAATGTTAGGATAAAAATAGGACAGTGACTGATTTATGGCTGGAACCCATGATGCCTGAACAATTTCACAAATTAAGGAAGTCATTTGAATATAGATTCAAATTCAAAATTGGGCATGTTTTATTTAAATATCTGGTTCTCTGCTTATGGTTACTACTGTACAATCAGTGAATTACATTTATCTGTTTAATTTTTAGTTTCTGCTAAAGCTTTATTTAGAAAATGAAACAAATACACATCTCTAATTCATCATAATATCATCAGTAGAAATCAGGGAACAGAATGTGTTCATTATATAATACTTAAAACTGACATCTTGGATCTGCCAGTGACTCTGCCCAAAGTTAATATATGGTGTGAACTTAATTCTCATAGTTTAAGAGTCACTGTTTTCCATAAAATCTAGGCTCATATGACCCCTCAAATTTAGTTAATTTTATTATTATTTATGATCAGGAGTAGAGGTTTATCACTTGTTTCCAGTTTAGTATCAACAAAACATATGATAATAAACTCATCACAAAAATAGTTGCTTTAGATATCTCAAAGGATTTTGTCAAAGTGTAGCTACATATGACATTTCTGGAAGAATCTTCCTATTTATCAAGTTCATTGTCTCATGTAGGTCTGTGGTTATTGTTAACCACCAGTTTCTGAAGCCCATGAAATCAATGCAAATGTTTCCCAAAATAAGAAGGATGTTCCACTCAGGCAGCTTCTTTCATAGAACTGAACTTCTCTACTACTCACTGTATTTGAAATTAGTTGAAAATGTTTTTTGAAGTACAATAATTCAGCACTGTTCATCATAATAAAAATCTTTATCTGAGATGAGGACTTATTGGAAGTCATTAAATATCATTGTATTACCTTTGGCAGTACATTATTTCAAAATAAGCAACTGCTAAATTGAATCCATTCATTTTTCAGATTATGCATATCGACTGTCATTAGAAGATATAAAAACTAAAATGCCATCTATTCCATGTCAACCCATTGGCTATGGAGATGCAATGGTCCTGTTAAGGTGGGTAACAATTCTGTTTGGCATATATATATGCATGTTTATATATAACCATGATGAAAGCATATTTAATATATTTGCTTATATATATCAAGTGCACCCATGACTTTCATGTTAAAGGAAAACGAGTGAATAAACATTTAAACAGAAAATATATTAAATAATTGTTAGACTTAATCAATTTCATAATATGCTGTACTGTTTACGTTAAGTTATATTTCATGAGCAGATATGATTGTTCGAGAAAGTTTGTCGAAGATTTGTTGTTTATAAACAGTAACTAGACTGCAAACCAGATGCTTTCTCTGTAGCTGAGTGGTATAGCATGACAGATCAATTGACAATTCCATATAGGACACAGATTCGATTCATGTTGGAGAATGCATAATTTTCTATGAAATTTCTTGAACATTCAAGCTGGCAAATGTAATTAATACTGTTTATTTAAGAAATAGAACATTTACTTAAATAAATTGTATCTCTTAAAATAACTTATAAACAGAAAATATATTAAATAATTGTCGGACTTAATCCATTTCATAAGATGTTGTCAGTGTTTATGTTAAAGTACGTTTTGTGAGCAGATATAATCATTTGAGAAAGATTGTTGAAGATTTGTTTATAAACAGTAATTGGACTTTGCTAACATTGAGGCTGGTAAATGTAATTAATATGGTTTATTTAAAAAAACAGAGCATTTACTTAAAGAAATTGTATCTATTAAAATAACTTATAAATAGAATATATATATATATATATATATATATATATATATATATATATATTGAAGTCTACTTCCAGTGGTGAGAGTCTATTTCAATGCAATGCTTAAACCCAATCATCATCATTTAAGCATGAAACAGACTGTCACTACTGAGTGTTTACATCAGTGTCCATTTTTACATTTACATGTTCCATTCCTGATATTGAACATTTTAACCCATAAATATAGCTACCCCCAAACTATATTATATATGCATATAACTCTATACATGGTTTCTGCTATCATCTTTAAACTGGATCCCCACAAATCATATGGATTTGATGGTATCCCAGCAATCATTGTTAAGAACTTGCTTCTGTTCTTTCTAAACTCTACAATAAATGCCTTGCTATTTCTTGCTTTCCTGCTTGTTGGAAATCCTCTTCTGTAGTTTCAGTCTTTAAGAATTTAGACAAAGCATTTGATCCTTCTAACTATTGGCCTATTAGACTTCTAACTCTTTTTGGTTAAGACTCTAGAGGCTCTAATTAACTCTGAATTCATTAAGCATCTCACTTTACAGAGTTTTCTTTCATATAAACATTATATGGCTTTCATTTCTCAAAGTCAACTGCTGATGTATCTGTTGTTGAAAGAGTCGATCAAGCTTTAGATAAGAATGGTGAAGCCTTGAGCTGTTGCTTTGGATATCTTGAAGGCATTTAACTGGGTTTGGCATACCGGTCTTCTTCACAAGTTGAAAAGTTGTGGTATTTCTGTACAAATTTTTGAACTGATTCAGTCTTTTTTATTAAATCAAGAAATGAAAGTTGTATTGAATGGCCACTCTTCTGGGATCTTTTTGCATTAATGCAGGTGTCCCCAGGGCTCTTCTCCTTAGACCTACATTGTTCTTAATTTTCATCAATGATTTTCCTGATGTCATCAGTTCTCAACTCTGTATCTATGCTGATGACACAACTAGCTACTCCTATCTTAATAGTCTGATCCGTTCAGCAAAGTTAAATCGGCAGGTGATCTCAAAAATGACCTAAAATCTGTTGTTAACTGAGGAAAGGAATAGTTCATTAATTTTAGTGCTTTCAGAATTAAACTGCTCTCTTTTAATCATCTGAAAGAACCCCTTCTTGAGGTGAAATAATAAAAAAAATCTTTGTCAGAGACCAACTCTACAAAATTGGAAGAAGTTTGAGATTGTCAAAACTTTTCCATGATCTATGTTAAATGTATGAATTAGCACTCCGAAAAAATGTAAAGAAAATTAACTAAATTAAGTGATGATGAAAATTAATTTCAAAAACTTTAAAAATAGTTGAAATATCATTTACCAAAATTCAATGTTTTCTACATCATGCAATATATATTTAGGAGAAAAAGTCATAGAAATATTTGGATTATTTTTTTTTTTTCAAGACTATTTGTAGAAGTATGTTTTGGAAGACTATTAAACTATTTAGTCACAATTCAGTTTGCCACATGAAGAGAAATTATGTTTATCTCTCTGATCCAGGAAATGACATAAAGCATAGAGGTAGGACTATAATGATGTGTGTGTGTTTCCTTCAAGTAACACTGGAGTACTTCATATAATTGGAAAAATTATAATGTAATGGTATCCATAAGAGAATCACTTATTCTTTCTGTCAGTTGAAGATGAAGAATTGTTTGGTTTCCAATATAACATCAATCAGTATGGCAAGTTTTGGTGTCTGTGTTTGCCAACTTCTCTCACTGGCAAGGGAACTGTCTCTTGAGTCTCCAGATTATTCTTATATGTTCTTCTGACTTTCACTATTAAAATCGGTCAGTTATTCTTTCTTCCTTTATCATTCTCCTTCTTTTCTTGACTGTTGCTTACTAGATAAAATATCTAACAGTATAGATATAGATATGGCTCTCTCTCTCTCTCTCTCTCTCTCTCTCTCTCTCTCTCTCTCTCTCTCTCTTCATTTGAAAATATGTTCAGTGCCCATCATGTCAAGGGGTTTCATCACTCCAATGCCACTGATCTTGCTGTCATTCTGACAGACACAGTTCATTACTTAATCTGTTACTTACCTCCTCTCTGGACTCTTGTTATTCTCTGCAACTCTGTCCTTTTGACAACTCCAACCACATGGTAGTGCCTATATATGTTTCTTTCTGCTCTCTTAACAAGCAAGAGCTCCCTATTAAAAGAACTTTTCTGTTATCAACACACTGACTGGGACTCATTTCAGGATTTTTTTTCTTTTGCAATATCCCTTGAAATGATATTTTTAATCATCCTTTTGAGAAATGTGCTACTGTGGTGCCTTCCTGAATGAAAACTCATCAAAGCTGTCATGCCAGCACAGAAATACCAAGTGAAACTGCAATCTTCTCCTTGGTTCTCTTTTGCCTGTTCAGCTGTTATAGCCCACAGGAATCACTCCTTCCAGCTATACCAGAGTGGCAGGTCAAAACTGTAATAGACACTTTGTCACTGCTCCTAATGAGTGTAAGCATGTCCTCAAAGAGGTAACTCATTACTCGCTGATAGAATGAGATACCGGTCATAAGTTTGGTTCTAGAAATTACTGGTGACTCTGCAAGAGTAGAGACTGAACAAAAGGAAATCCTTAGTTTGAAATGTTGACATCTATAGTAGATAAAGCAGATCCTGACCTGGCATTTCAACTTCAGTCACTTTCATACTGATGTGACATGGCTTCCTTCCCTCTTTTCTATAAATACTTTCATGGCAACTATTCTAATCAGTTTTTTCTTAGTGCCTTGACTGCATGAATGTAAGCATGCTACTAGATTGGCATCTAGGTCTTTTACTGTTGAAATAGCTAGATGCAACCATGTGTTCTATTACTTTTTCACTTCTTGCCTGTGAATCTTCCTCTTGATTTCTTGCTTCCCTGCCACCTACAATCTTAAAAAGATTTAAGTGCAACATCAGTCAACATCTTCTGTGTTCCTGAATCCTGTTCCTTTGTCTTTTTCCTCAGTAAAGTCTTCTCATTCTTTTTCACATCCTGTAATGCCCTGTGTCCTAGAGGCATTATTACCTTTTTTTACAATTTTGTTTTTAATCATTTCAACCAAAATGATTAAAAACAAAATTAAATCAAGAATAGTTTCAAAAGAATACTGTAGAGATGCTCCGGTGATCTCACCAATCCCCCAATTTATATCCATTAAAATTTTGAGGATTTATTTGTAATGAGTGAGCCAAGATTCCATAATGTTTTGATGATTTTGTTAAGTTTTATAAAACAATTTCAAATCTTATCAGCTCAGTATTAAAATTCAGACAAATTTACACTGTAAAATTAACTCTGCATATATTTGCCACCTTCATGAAGCTATGATCTATCTGTGTGTGTGTGTGTGTGTGTGTGTGTGTGTGTGTGTGTAATATCTATCTATTGATGTCTTGATATCATTCTTGGATTGTTTTTTTTTGAACAGACATGGATTTCATGAAGCCTTGCTTGCAGAGCTGGGTGTTTGTGCTTCAAGATCTCTGGGGGGATGCTCATAAGGCCTGCAATTTTACCACATTTTAGCTTTTTGAAAATATCACAGAGATACTCCACATATCTCATATGAGCATTGTAAGACATTTGGAAAATGAACTCCTTATGATGTCTGGGTATTTTATGATTTTGCATAAAAAATCTGAATGCACAGCATTTCCATTGCAATTCTCTGCTCAAAAGCAACAAAAACAATCCATTTTTGGAAAGAACTATCACATGGATTTTTTGCAACAATGTGAAATAAAAAAAGTTCTGTGGTAAACAAAAAATTAGTCTGCATCCAATGAAAGAGATGCTGTGTCTCTGGTGGGATTCAAAAGGTATTATGTATTATGAGATCCTTTCACAAAGTACTGTTCCCAACTTGACTGATTAAAAGTTAAAGTGTCAGAAATATGCTAATAGTAAGGCTTTTGCTTTACATCAGGGCAATGCCAAACCTCACATCTCTTTGTAGACCCAGCAGTAATAGGTACAACTTACTATAACTATTGTACTCACTTAAATTTCCACCATAAGATTACTATTTATTTTGATTCCTAAAAAAATATCTTAATAGAAAGAACTTCAATTCTCTTGAAGCATGTAAAAACCATTTAGATCACTTGATCACCCATAAAGATGCCAAGTCTTGGAAGAATGGGATCATGAAGCTGTCTCAAAGATGGTGAAAAGTATAACAAAATGATGCATATTTGAGTGAATAAATCTCTGTACAAATATCTAAATATAGTCTTTGAATTTCATTTAAAAAACTATAAACTTTA